AGTTCATTAAAGTCAGCCTCCTTGTCTAGTTTTGATCTCAGCATGTAAACTATTCCTTTTCCTGTGTAACATCGGTTCACATGCTTTGTTAGCGATAATTCTAGCAAGGATACTGAAAATACTCTGCCATGTAGTGAAGAGTTAAGGTTTAAACCCTCTATTGCTGCAGATCAGGATTGCTCCAGTGACTTCAGAGAGACCAAAGCAATTAACGTGACCTGTCCACATTAATTATTGCAACACCTTCCATCAAAAAGCCTTTTCTACTTTGCGTAATATACAATTCTGCCCATGAACCAAAATTTCAGTGTTAAGTATCACCAAGTTGAAAAAGAAAATTTCTGTTCTGTTTAAAAAGCCAAAGAAGTAAAGCTTCACATTAGTGGCTTCACATCTCACCCATGATATCTGAATGTTCGTTCATGTATGTCCCCACTTTTTTGCCATACTTATTAAAAGCATATGGGATAAAATACTTCTACCATTGTTAGGAATCAGAGAACGTTACTAAAGGACTTATTCCCCAAGTTAAAGGAATCTCTATGAGAACAGGATCTGAACTTACCAAATTCACCAAGGAGAGTAAACCAAGAGGCGTGGTGTGAGAAGTGTAAGGTTGTGAGTACTTTTATACAGTTTCTTAGAAGTGTGGAAGTCAGTGCAATTCTCCTTGTGCTTCCATTATCTGTTAGTCACAAGACAAATTTTGGAAGTACATCACCAGTCCAATTGCTATAATTGTTTTCCTACACATTTAGGACAATTTTCAAATTCCTCTGGTAGCACGCTGTGATTAACACCCTCTGAGATTCTTTCATCTTAAAACTTTCCAGGATAAATGGGTTTCTGGGAACTCACCCGAAGAACAACTGGAAATTAAACTAGAGGATACACAGAACAGTTCCAGCTACACTGCCTGCCTAGCTAGGGGGTCCATATCGACTGTTTCTTTACGTTATGCCCCTACATTGTGGGGTGACGTAAAATACCTGAGGAGGAAAGAGGCATCATACTATGTGCTTAGGGTTTTTACCAACCATTTTGATTCATTTCCGTCACAATTAATGACAGGCGTTCCATTGATTCCTTTAGGTTCTCCTACTGTCTATAATTTGGCATACGCACTATGAGAAGTTCAGGCCGAGGCACAGGATCAATTAAATGAGCATCTGAGCAATGTGTCTAAGACTTGTGGTCTGTTTGGGTTTTTTTTTCCCTCTCTCTTTTCTGGAGGAAATTATTAGAAAATCTTGCTTGAATCAATGTTTTGTGATACCACACACATGAGATAATATTTGTGTGAGGTACGTGTATATGAGATACATATATACATTATATGCTATATAATGCTGGTGCAAGTATCACTGCAGGATCTGGTAGTGCAGAACAAATCTGGGTTTCCTGTTGGTCTACCATAGGGACTGCAGCAGGGAAAAGGGGGAGGCAGTCTTTTAGGAAGGCTGTGGAAGCCAGTAGCACGGAGGCCACACGTTCCTGACTGGTGGGAAGCATTTGCTGGGGTGGGTAGCTGGAGACACTGCTAGCAGTGAGGTGTCCTACAAAGTCCCTTGCTTTGCGATGGGCTGTAGCAGAATAAAAAGGCTGGTGAAGTGCTAGAAGTTGCCCACTGCAAAACGGATTTTTCTAAGCCAGGAAATGAGAAATTGCTTCTCTGATTTGTCGTGGTGTTGCTAGCCAGTGAGA